TTTTTAAATTTTTAATTTATTTTATAAAAACAATTCCTTTAGAAAAACACGATTTTTTTTTGTATCTCAAATCGAGCAGGTTTTGATTCAAAAATGGAATCAAGATTAAATCAGAATATGAGTTAAAACATTTTTTTATACAATATTTTTATAAAATATTTCTTTATACTATATATTTCAAAAGAAATAAAATAATATTAAAAACTCTTTTTTGGTGCTTTATGAAGTTTTAAACAATTGGTTACAATTTTTAACAATTGGTAACATTTTTTAACAGTTGGTAACAATTCTTAACATATAATTCTTAGCATGTATATATATATATATAACATAACATTCTTAGCATGTATATATATATATATATATATATATATATATATATATATATATATATATATATATATATATATATATATATATATATATATATATATATATATATATATATATATATATATATATATATATATATATATATATATATATATATATATATATATATATATATATATATATATATTATAATTTTTCACCTCCCCAAGGCCCGAGGGGGCCACTACAGTCAAGAAGGCTACTCATTTTTTTTTTTTTTTTAATTTTTTTTTTTTTTTTTTGTTGTAAATTGTGGTACAATCCTCTCTCAACTTTTTAACTCCGAAACAGGAACCTTGACAAGCAAGGCCGCTGCGCGGAGAACTTAAGTTGAGCGCGGTACTTCAAGGGATATTGTTCGAGTCGATCCCCAAACCTCTCGCTTACAAAGCGAGAGCTCTTACCACTACTCCACTACCACATATTTAAGATAATGTTTTGCCTTAAATTTTTTTTACTTAACATCGAAATATCTTAAGGTATTATTTTGTATTTCATGTATATACATGATACACATAATATACACATAGTATATACTTTTTAATGTATACTTTAAGGTGTTTATAATATACCATAAAAATTTCTATAAACTATATTTTAGCATTAGACTTATGTGTTAAGAATACAGAAGTAACCTGATGAAAATTATGATAGTGTTTTTACTTTTATTTAGTAGTCAAAGTACCTTAATCACATAGATAATTATGATCACTTTTTCCAATCTTGTATTATTTTTTTTTTTTTTATTATTCACAAGAGTACAGAAGTAACCTGATGAAAATTATTTGTTTTTTTTTTAATTATGATATTGGTTTTACTTTTGTTTAATACAGAGACAGGTGTCTGCAGACAAGAATGTTTTAGTTCTTGATGTTCAATAAAATCTTGTAAGTCATTATCATAATTTTCATCAGGTTACTTCTGTACTCTTAACACATAAGTCTAATGTTAAAATATAGTTTATAGAAATTTTTATGGTATTTTATAAACACCTTAAAGTATACATTAAAAAGTATACATGAAATACAAAATAATACCTTAAGATATTACGATGTTCAGTAAAAATAATTTAAGACTAAACATTAACGGAATTAATAAGTGTGTACTTTAGTCAACAAACAATAATTAAAACTTAGTAAAGTATTTGTTTTACTCAAAGCCAAATTAAAAATAAAGGTTGAATAAATATATAGAATAAAGGAAAATAAAGGTGGGGGGGTGATGACAATGATGATGAGACCATATAAAATATGGTCTCATCATCATTGAATCATCATCAGCATAAAAAATACAATATATAATGAATTTTATTTAATTTGAATAAAATTTTAGGATGCATTAAAATTTAAGCAGCTCTGGTCGTAGATCAGCAAATTAAATCAGTGAAATTTTGTGTGATATTATGCTGAGAAGATCAAAATTCTAAATCACCCTCTAGTTTATCTATTTCAATATTCTTATCACTTTTATCTGAATCGTTATCAGAAAAAGCTTCAAGTTCACTAATTTTATTATCAATTTGATAAGAAATATTGAGGCTATTATCCAGAGCAGTGGTGTTGGAAGGTTCATTATCTGAAGTGTTCAACCCATGTTTTTGGCAATTGCTTTGAAAGACTGTTTTGGGCAAGGCGTCAATAGGCTTAGGAAAATAAAACCCAGTTTTACCTATGTAATCATAGTTATAGGCTCCATCAATAACTATTTCCTCTTGATTGATTTTGGACAAATAATTAAATTAAAGTTAAAATAAAATAATTTTAACTTCTCGAATTTTTTTTCTTTCAGTCCAATAGCTTATAACTAAAACCAAGATTACTAAATATACAGGATGTGATATAATGAAAATTATATACTTGAATGAAAGCATAAATATGTTTTTCTCTCCGTAAAATCTACATTAAAAACATTTTGCGGCATGATTTTTAGTATCTTTGGCGAGCCATTAATGATACGCTTATAGTCCGGCAATAACTAGCCAGTTCTGGTTCGTCAGCTAAAGCCTTTAACTGGATCACATGTGATTGCAAATTGTCTGAAGACTGCTACGAAATTCTTGATAACTTGCAAGATCTAGAATCTTCTATTGCTGAAGGTGTTAAAATGTCACTATTTCACATTGCTGGTTATGTTACACAAAATAATAAAAAAGGAACTGATTATGAGCTTTTAGATCAAACAACGTTCTATTATCAGAAATATGGTCATTTTTCTAAATTTTTGGATCGTGGTTGATTACAAATTCTAACTAATAATTCGTGCCAATGAACATTTTTTTGTTTTGTAGTTTTTCAAATAGTTAAAGATCATGTATGCAGAAAATCTTTAAGTAGTATTTTTATGATTATATCAGACTATTATTTATTGGATATGGAAGGACATCATTGCGTAATATTGAGCAACATTAAAAAAAAAAAAAACTATGTACCACTGTCACTCCAAGATCTGGCAAAATACCTAAACTAAAATTATTAAAAATCTCTTAAAAGTCTACTAAGTTGTCTACTATTTATAATATATTTAGTATACTTTTTTATAAAAGATTTATAAAAGTTTTATATAGTAGTTGTGTTTTTTTCAGATTTTGTTAACAGTTTTAATCAAAATTTACCTAATATTTTTTGTTTAGTTTAATAACATTTCTACTCAATATAAGAAAATATCAATTTCGTATTTAGCCAAAACTAAAGGTGAAATAATATAATTATGTAAATGTGTGAAATTTGAAATCAGATAAAATTTCTTTGCCTTTTATTTACATTGTTTATTACTTAATATTAATTATTTCTTTTCGTCAAAAAAAATTATTAGGCTATACTGAGAATTTCGAAGTTATTATCTTTTTCGTCGTAAAAAAGTAGGCCTCCACAAAAAAATCCGGTTGCGCGATGAATAAGCCTGTAGTAGAGAACGCAATGTTTAAAACGCATATTGATTTCCTGCCCCAACCAAACCCTGACCCAAATCATGTACATTTAATTCCCATATACATTTAATTTCGCCATTTTGTCAGTAGATGTATGTACATTTAATTTTGCCGATCCCTATTTGTCAGTTAATGTATGTACTTTTAGTTGCGCCGATTCCTATTTGTCAGTCGATGCATGTACATTTGTAATTAATTTTAGAAAAATAGAAAACGACAATAAAACCCGTGTCGCGTAGTTAAAAAATTAATTTCTTAAATTTTGAAAACAGTGCTAAAATGTTTTTAAAGAGATGGTGGAATATTAGCGTTTTTAATGTGGATTTTTATACTTTAACATTAAATTAGAGTACTTCCCTCATGTTTTCAGACCTATGTTTTTATTTGACTTAGAATCAGTATCATGTGTTCTATAATAATCAATCATAAAAACAGAGGAGGGGGGGGGGGAGTAAAAAAGTCAATTAGTGGCCACTCAATGTGCCTATAGCTATATAAATCAGTAGATGTATACAGGGCCGGCGCGAGTAGGTGTCACGTGGGTTGCCATTACAACTTTGTAATGACAAATTACAACTTTGCCGACAAATAATAAAAAAAAAAAAAAAAGATCCTTGTTTTCCAAAATTTGCCGACTGCCATTACGACATTTGCCGACTGACTAACTTATATCGAAAGGGTCGACATTTGCTGACTAACTAGTCTAAAAAAGTCCGCTTTGCCGACTAAGGGTCCAGTTTGACGACTAAAAATCATTGATGGGGGGGGGGGTGTCACACCCCTATCGCGCCGTTGCGATACGCCTATCTATGTATATCCCAATTTGCCTATCCTCTAAATATCCCAGTTTTTTAACGTCAAAGATGTTCAATTTCGTAATAAAGGTTTGAAAAGAGAGACTACCGTAACTTGGGTGATAAAAAGAATAAATAAATAAATCTAACATGCGGCTTTTTTAAAGTAAACAACAAAATCTTTATCCAAAGATCAAAAATTCAATATTGAATTGTTTGTAATCATGTAAATAAAAATCAATAGGTAATAATATACTTATAAAAATTCTTAGGTTTAAATTGATTAACTTATATTTTCATTATTGATGCTCACTTATTTCTAATTTTAGTACCTTTTGTTTTGTATTTGCTGACTAAGTCTGCAAAACAAAAACAAAACAATAATTTTACAAAAGTCTGATACTTTTGTAAAATTCCTTGTTAATGCATCAAAGTGTACGTTAAACCTATTTTATTAGCAAACGTATGACAACTGTATATATATAAAAAAAAAAAAAAAAAATTAAATGATCATCATTTTATCTACCGAATTCATTATAAAACCATGCAGTATAGTCTAATTTTTTAATGTTAAATGAAATCTCTTTCTTATTTTTGTTTTTTGGAATAATTTAATGTATTCACATTTTTTCTCTATAACTTATTGTATTTGAACTAATAGGAATAAAATGATGGTCGTTGTTGTTTTGGAACTGTTCTTGTCAATTCCATTAAAAGTAACTTAAAACAAATGCCTGTTATTTTGAACTTACACAAAAAATAGATCAACATTCAAATCTGTTTATGTTATATTTAACACCCAAAATCTGCCCATTAGATACTTGTTTTAAACTTTTTTAACAAACTACTATTTTAACAGTTGCACAAATACCATCACAGAAAGATTTGTCATTGCTGGTAGCAAAAAATACTCATTCATCATTTAAATCAAAGTCTATGCTGTGATAAGATAAATTGAAAGATAAGTTTTGAAAGTTTTAAAGTTACATTGCACAGCCATCAGAAAAATACTTCCCACGTGATACAAAAAAACCATGTGTCATGATTATATTCTTCTGAAAGGTAATAAAAACATTTTTGTTTGAGAAATGTTTTTTCCTAAAAATAAATTACTATTGTAAAAAGTGAACACTGAATTTTTGCAACAGTGATAATTAAAAGTTGAAAATTAAAAATTTATTTTTATTACATAATTACAAAATATTGTTATTAGTTTTTTTTATTGTTGACTAAATTTTGTGTCTTGTTTCATTAAGTATTTTATGTCTTGTTTTATTAAATTTATATGCTTTGTTTCATCAAATATTTTCTGTAATAAAGAATATACATGTATGTATCTTTATTACATATAATACATTTGGAAATATTATTGATGCTATGTTGTATACTAAATTAAAATATTCTTAGAAACATTTTCTATACAAAAGCAAACATTTAGGAAGAGTCAGAAATTGCGATCCTGGAGATTATCCCATAGATATTCAGCAAGCTTTGGAAAGATCTATAGAGTTTTATGAGTAAATATATATATTTTTACAACTTTGTTTATTGGATCCTTTTGTAAATAGTCTAACGTGTTTATTATTTGGCTAACTGGTCACATGACTTTGATTCTTTTTCAAATAAACTCATTTGTCATTGATATAACATTCTTCAAATAAACTCGTTTGTCATTGATATAACATTTTTCAAATAAACTTATTCGTCATTGATATAACATTCTTTCATAAACTTTTTCTAAATGAAGATAAAGACAATTAACAACATTTTGTTTTAGTAAATAAAACATAACTATAAACAAATTGGTTTTATTGTAAGAACCACAGAGTGTTTTTTCAAGATTTCTATCTTTTAGTTTGATACAATCTCGTGCATAGAGTAATGGAATTATTTGCTTTAACATGTTGGAGTACTATGGTAAACATGTTAGTATCTCATGCTCACTACCGTCACTATCTAGTAGAACGCAGTTTAGTTTTTTAAGGAGCTTTTAAAGGAGGTTCAGAGAACAATTTAGGTTAAAATTGCAGAACATGATCCAGAAGGTCCAATAAATTCTTGGAATATCAAAATTTAATTATTGGAGTTTTTATTTTAGGTGTCTAGTAAATAAAACAGTTAACATAAACTTTCACTGTTGATAATGTCTATGATGAGCATGGCTTGTAATAATAATTATCACATGCAATCATTACATCATCTCATTTGTTTTGCAATACATTATGAAATCATTACATCGTCTCATTTGTTTTGCATCATAATATGCAATCATTACATCATCTCATTTGTTTTGCAGCACATTACTAAAAAATGCTTAAGTTTTAATTACCAAAAAAATATATTTAAAAAATTCACTTTCAACCTTGACATTTTCAAGGTTGGAATTTTAAAAACATAAGAGAACAAATTCTCTAGGTATATTTTAACCTTTGCAATGGATATATAGATCGATAAATGAGAAGCAACTCAGGATTCTGTGAAATTCTACAAGTTACTGATAATAAAGAAAAGTGTTGAGAAGAACAACTTTAATACTGCAGTATGATAAACAAAATTGAATAACAACATTAGTAGTGATTTCATCGGACAAAAATAAAAAATGAAGTCAAACAGTATTTCAAGATTCCAAATTTTTCTTTTAAAACTTTGAAAACAGTATGATCCAGATAATATGTGTGGTCCAAATAATGAAGTCAAACAGTATAATGTAAACATTTTCAAAAAAATGTATATAAAACAGAGAGTAATTTATTATTCTTTTTTCAAAATCTCAAAATTTTATTTTGAAACTTTGAAAACAGAATGATCTATAACAATCACTAAATTCAACTCTTGTATGAATTCATCATCAAATTAAATATTTCTCACATTATATCATCAATATAATAAATCAATTTTGTCATCATCATCATCATCATCATCATCATCATCATCATCATCATCATCATCATCATCATTATATTCTCAATAAATTTTTTGAGGCCAGAAATAATATTTTAGTGTTTGGTTTTCATAACTATCTGATATTATTTTTTCTTTACTTTCACGATTTTTATTGCTGTCTGTTATTTTCATTGCATGTATATTTTTTTAATGATCATTGTTAGTTTTAAAACAAGTAGTTTTATTCTAGAGGCTGCTAATGGCTAGAGAGTTTAATGACTAGACTGCATTTAGTAACCATGGTAATGCTCATGTTTTTCTTTGAGAATTTCAAATAGCTGTACAATATTACTAATGAGAAAACTTCAAACATAAATTTTTTTCAGAGGTCAGTATAAAATTGTTTTTTATATTTTAATTGTTTTTTACTTGTATTTGTCTTATAATATATACTTTATTTGATCATCTTTATCAAAAGAAAGGCTGTAAACCCTTTTCATTTGCAAACTTTACCATTTTTTTTAGCAAAATTCTTGAAAAGTTAGATTATTACTTTTTACATTGAAAAAATATAATTTATAAATAATTATTTTGTCTTTGTCTAAACAAAAAAGAAGCTTTACAGTTTGCAAATTATAAAAATACTTCATATAAAATAAATTAAAAATATAGGTGTAGATCAATACCAAAAAAAAGATATCTATAGACAATTACCATATAAAAGAAGACCTTAAGTTTTTTTTAATTGCTTTTGTAGTTTAAAAGTATAACAAAAAGATTTAAGTTATTGCAAAAAAGTGAAATTAAAAAGGACTAAAATCAATTAAAAGAAGAGAATGTATACATACAGTAGCGTCCAAAAGTTTGTGAACAGGCAAAAAATAAGGAATTTTACTTAAATTTCAGCACATATTTCACTAAGCCAACATATTATATACCAATTAAAAGGTTTCCAAGTTAACAATTATGTTTTGAGCAAATAATGAATATTTAATTACCATTTTAAAATTGGTTAAGAAAATGGCAATTTTTGATAAGTTCAAAAGTAGTATTTCTACTATAAAACGTCGTTTACGTCACGCTAATTTGTTTGGACGCCCAGCTAAAAAAACCATTAGTTTCCTTGAAAAACTGTGACGCCCGAATGGAATTTGCATCAAAACATCTGAAGTGGAGCAGTCAAAAATGGTCAAAAATTCTTTTTAGTGACGAAAGCAAATTTATGCTGTTTGGATCCGATGGAATCAGGTATGATTGATGTCCAGTAGGTCCTTTTTAGTGTTGAAAGCAAATTTATGCTGTTTGGATTCGATGGAATCAGGTATGTTTGATGTCCTCTTTACTTCTTCTTGGATTATCGCTTACTACTGACCTTTCATGGAAACCATATATACAATCGATTGCTAAATTAGCTTCTGCTAAGGTTGCTTCTCTTTATCGTGCTCGCCATTTCCTTACTTCTGATTCCATTCTCTACCTCTACAAATCTCTTATTCGTCCCTGTATGGAATACTGTTGTCATATTTGGGCTGGTTCTTCTAACGATTCACTTTCTCTTCTTGACAAGGTCCAAAAACGCATTGTAAATGTTGTTGGACCTGGACTATCTGCTAAGCTTAAACCTCTTTCCCATCGTTGTAAAGTTGCATCTCTTTCTCTTTTCTACAGATACTATCATGGTCACTGCTCAAAGAAGTTATCATCTCTTGTTCCATCAACTAAAATTCATTCTCGTTTTACTCGTCATTCAGCTAAGTCTCATTCGTTTACTGTATCTGTCCCTGCATGTTCTAAAAACTTTTATTCATCTAGTTTTTTTCCCCGCACTTCAATCCTTTGGAACTCTCTCCCATCTTCATGTTTTCCTGACTCATACAACCTTCAACTTTTCAAGTCTTCTGTCAACCGTTTCCTTGCTCTATAACTCTGTTCTTTTTTTTCCTAGTAACTCCCAACTTGATAGTGGTTGCTTGCAGCCTTGTTGGGAGTGAATGCAAATAAATAAAAAAAAAAAAAAAAAAGGTACTAGGTACAATCCTAAATACCAACTGCCTACCCTAAAACATGGAGGAGGTAATGTAATGGTTTGGGGATGTTTTAGCCGAAATGAAGTTGGTCCTCTCCATAGAATTACCGAGAATATGAATCAAGAAAAGTACAAAGATATATGTAAGACTATTATGTTACCATATGCAAAGGATAAAATGCCTCGAGGATGGATTTACCAACAGGATAACGATCCCAAACATACAGCTAAATCGGTTTTAGAGTTTTTTAAAGAGAGTAAAGTTAATGTTTTGAAGTGGTTATCCCAATCACCTGACTTAAATCTTATTAAACATCTATGGGAACATGTTGACCGTCAAATGAAAGGAATTAAGCCTAAAAATTATGCTGATTTATTTAATAAAATAAAAGAATTATGGGACTTAATTCCCATTGACATTTGCATTAATTTAGTTGACTCTATGCCTCATAGATGCCAAGCTATTCTTGATTGTAAAGGATATCCTACAAAATACTAATGTGATTTTGCTTTTTCAAAAATTTTGATCAAATATTGTTGAAATATTTTAACTATTTTAAAAAATAATGCTTTGTCCGCTAATTTTTGAACTTATCAAAGATCGTTGATTTGTATACCAATTTAAAATATTATTTAGATAATAATTATTTGTTCAAAACCCTTATATGCAGAACCTTTTTCAGTTATTTATGCGCAATAAAACAAAGGATTTTTTTCCTGGATATATTCTTGTAATTAAATTCATCATTTAGCTCATCAAAATAGCTCCAACTTTCAGGCTAATCTTTTCCCGATTTAATTATTTTTTGTTTTTTTATTTTTTAGCTTTCAGCTTACGAGTTTTTTTTTTTAATCCTGTTTTCTGCTTTTAGGCTATTTTTTTAACTTCCATCTTTTATGGTTTTTTTTCCATCTTCCAACTTGAAGGCATTTTTTCTTATTTTTTGTGCGGTGACATTAATTTTTAAATGTTGAACTTCAAACGGTGGACTGATGAAAGGGAAAAAGGTAAAATAATGGAAACCGGAATTAAAAGTCCTGAAAGGTGCATGCTGGGAAAAAAAATCCTTAAAGCTGAAGGCTAGAATAAATAAACAATCCTGAGAGTTGGAAGCTTGAAAAGAAAGAAAAAAATACCTGAAAGCTTTCAGTTTTCAGGGTTTTTTCATCTACCTTTCAAGACTTTTTTTTCCGGCTTCATTTTTCAGGGTTTTTTTTTTTCTAGTCTTCAGCTCTCAGGCTTTTTTCCCAGCAGGTTTAGGATTTTTTTTCCCCTGTTTTATTCTAGCTTTTAGCTTTCAAGAATGTGTTTTTTTTCAAGCTTCCAGCTCTCCGGATTGTTTATTTATTCTAGCCTCCAGCTTTAAGGATTTTTTTTCGCAGCATGCACCTTTTAGGACTTTTAATTCCAGCTTCTATTTTTTTACCTTTTTCCCTTTCATCAGTCCACTGTTTGAAGTTCAACGTTTAAAAATTAATGCCAGCGCACAAAAAAGCACTGGCAGAATGGTCAATTTTAACTTAGCCTACGCAATTTTTTTTCTGCTATTTAAATTATAATAAAATAGAGAAAAAGTGTTTTAAATAAATACCAGATAAAATAATTTTATAAAAATCTTGTAAAAGAAAGGCCTTATTTCATAAAAATTAAACAAATGAACAAAAATCTTTTTTAACAAGTGCTTTTTTATGGGTTTGCCAATGTTTTTGCGAGCGTGTGAGCGAGCGTAAAAAGGCTTCAGCGCAAAAGCGCTGGCAAAACGGAGAAGGCTGTTTCATGTCTCAGGTATTTTTATTTTTCGAGCCTCTATTTTTTAGGCTTTTTTTGATTTTCCAACTTTCATTTTGAAGTCTTTTTTATTTTATTTTTCCACCTTCCAAATTTAAACCTTTTTTTTTTCAGCCTTCAGTTTTGTAGCTTCTATTTTTCAAATTTCGATTTTTTTGGCTTTTTGTTTTCTTTTTTTTTTTTAGCTTTTAACTTTCAGGCTTTAATTTTTTTTTTAGCGTCCAGTTAAAAAAAAAAACAAAAAAAAGCTATTTTTATGGATTTTTTATTTTATTTTTTTACCTTTAAAATTTAAAACTTTTTTTTTCAGCCTTCAGTTTTATGGCTTTTATTTCTCTTTTTTTTCAAACTTATATTTTTTAGGCTATATTTTTTTTTCCAGCTTCTCGATTTCAAATTTTTTTATTTTCAAGCCTTCAGCTTTTAGACTCTTGTAGGCTTTCATGGTTCAGTTGTTTTTTAACCCTTTTTAAGGTTTCAGGCTTTTCTTTTAAGCTTCCATTTTTAAAGCTTTTTTTTTTTTCCAGCTTCCAACTTTTATTCTTTTTTTAGCTTCCAGTTTTATGGCTTATATTATTATTCGTGATTTTAGGTCTCAGGGTTTATTTTTTAAGCCTCTAGTGTTCAGGTTTTTTTTTTTTTTTTTTTTCCAGTTTCCTATTTTAAGTTTTATTGTTTGTTTTTTTTTTGTTTGTTTTTCAGTTTGAAACTTTTAGGCCTTTTTTTCTAGCCATTAACTCCATGGCTTGTTTTTTTTATTTTAGCTACCAGCTTGCGGGCTATTTTTTCCAACTCTTACCTTTTAGGTTTGTTTTTGTTTTCAGCTTCCAGCACTCAGGCTTTTTTCAGCTCTTAGCTTTTAGGCTTTTGTTGTTTTTTTCAGCGTCCATTTTATTATGTTGTTTTTTTACTGCTTTCAGCTCTCAGGATTTTTTTTTTTTTTAAGTTTCCAAATCTCAGGCTTTTTTTTCTTCCTATTTTTCATGCTAAAATACTAAAATCCAGAAACATAATATTCTGCAGATTTAGTAATTCATACCATTTTTATAAAAACAAGCTTTTAATATATATATATATATATATATATATATATATATATATATATATATATATATATATATATATATATATATATATAAATATATATATATATGTATATATGTATATATATATATATATATATATATATATATATATATATATATATATATATATATATATATATATATATATATATATATGTATATATATGTATATATATATATATATATATATATATATATATATATATATATATATATATATATATATATATATATATATATATATATATATATATATATATATATATATAAATATATATATATATGTATATATGTATATATATATATATATATATATATATATATATATATATATATATATATATATATATATATATATATATATATATATAATATATATATATATATATATATATATGTATATATATATATATGTATATATATGTATATATATATATATATATATATATATATATATATATATATATATATATATATATATATATATATATATATATATATATATATATATATATACATATATATATATATATATATATTACACTAAAGTTGTGCTATAAAAATGTAATTAATTTACTGCACTACTGCAGCTTTTTTTTATGCACTACAGTAGTGTAATAGTAAAATAATACCAGTATATTTATATAGTAGTCCACTTTATAAATATACTTGTACTATTTTTTCTTTTTAATTTTAGTTTGAAATCTTCTTAATTAATGATGTAATGGTGTAGTGATTTGTAAGTGAGAGGTTCTGAGTTCGATTTCCACCATGTTCCTGGTTACACTACAATCAGCTATAGTTGAAAAAGAAGTCTATATTTTATAAACAAATTTTTTTTTTACAAGCTGTAGGTTTTTATTTAATAATTAATGCGTAATTTTAATTTTTATCACAGGTTGTTTTGTACTCATGGTAACATAAGTACAAAAAGTTATGGTAACATAAGTAAAAGAACCAAAATTTAAGCATACCAATAGTTACATATAAGAACTAAAATTTAAAATATTTATGCACATAAATTTGCTGTATGGTCACAAACAATCAATCAACACTTAAGGGAAAAATAAGGTACATTAGAATAAAAGGGATTTATTTTTCAAACAAAGCATATTTTGTTGGTTGTCAAGACAATAAAGATTATTAGATGAATATTCAAAAATATACAAATACCATGGCAACAATAAGACTGACAATGCTCTCAAACAGTACTTACAATTAAATTTTTTATTATTTTTTTTCAAACAAAAATAAACAGATATATAACAAATATCACCAAACAACAACTTATAAAACAAAAAATTTAATACAAAATAAAAAGTATGTGTACAAATATTTAAAGCCTAAGAATGAAAAAAATAAATAAATAAATCATTTACCACACCACTGGTAGAAAACATGATCTCACAATAAATTAAAATTCTAATGAAAACACCAAAGCAAAACTAAAATAACTCAAGTATGTAAACAAAACTAATAATAAATTTCCCTCTAAGACAATTAAAACCAAATATGTGCTTCCAGCATAAGTAAACCAAAGAAATTAAAATTGCAATATACCCTATTAAAAACCCTTTCATAATAAATAAAACACAATAAGTCTTATAAAGTCAATAAATTCTGCAATTCCTTCTTCAGATGTCAGTGTTGATGGGTACTATCCTTTGAATCGTAAAGACTCCAATAGTCACATGCTAGGTTTAGGGGTATACATATGCATTAATTCCCCTATTTGTCGTGAAATCAGGTTCAAATCCTTTGACCATTCTTTTATGTGCTTTCGCCTAGCACCTCTTCACTCTATCACCTTTCTCTTTGTTCTTTATCATTCTCCTTCTTCCCATGATTGCACTCTTTTAGATGTTGTCTCTGATCAAATTGACCATGCCCTCTCTCTTTACCCCTCTGCCAATATTGTTGTTGTTGGTGATTTTAATGCCCATCACACTGAATGGCTTGGCTCTAACACCACTGATCCTGCTGGCACTAAAGCCTTTAACTTCTGCGTTTCTCAATCTCTTACTCAGATAGTTAACTTTGTGACTCGTTTTCCTGACAACCCTAATCATTTACCTTCATTCCTCGACTTATGTCTTGTCTCTGACCCTAGCTTATGTTCAGTTTCTCCCTTTTCTCCCTTAGGTGGTTCTGACCATGCAATGATCTCTATAAATTTTTCTTCTCGCACTTCTTTTTTGGGCTCACCTTATCATTGCACCACCTACTACTACCCTAAAGCTGACTGGGATTCCTTTCGTGATTTTCTTTGTGATGGTCCTTGGGCTGATGTTTTTTCTCTCTCAGCTGACAAATGCGCTTCCTACGTAACCTCCTGGATTCAGGCTGGAATGGAAGCTTTTATTCCTTTGCGTCTGTTTCAAGTCAAGCCTCATTCTACTCCATGGTTTTCTCTTTCTTGTGCGGCTGCTATATCCAATCGTAATCATTTTTTTCATCTTTTTCAAAAGAACAACTCTCTTGAGAACAAACAGGTATTTATTATTGCAAGAAATCGATGTAAAAAGGTGCTTTCTGATGCTAAACTCCATTATTCTCAGTTCACTAAATCTTGCATCTTATCGCAGAAGTTAGGCTCTAAAGACTTTTGGAAATCTTCAACAGCATTATTAACAAGGGTAGATCTAACATTCCATCTCTCATTCATGGGACTGATCTTATTACCTCTCCCAAGGATAAGGCAGAACTATTTGCAAAGAACTTTTCTTCTAATTCCACTCTTGAATCTTATGGACATTCTCTTCATTCTATTCCAGTCAAACAGGTTGACTCATTGTCAGACATTCAAATCACTCCGGCTTCTGTTGCTAAAGTCATATCTCAATTAAACTCGTCTACAGCTTGTGGTCCAGACAACATTTCTGTCACAGTCTTGCAGAATTGTTCTCCAGAACTTTCTTTTATTCTATCTAAACTATTTAACAAGTGTTTGACTGAGTCTTGTTTTCCTGCTTGTTGGAAAATGGCATCTGTGGTTCCAATATTCAAAAACTCTGGATAAAATTCTGACCCCTCCAATTTTCGTCCAATCAGTCTTTCTGTTAATAGCAAGGTCTTTGAGTCTTTGATCAACAAATTCCTCACATCTCATCTTGAGTCAAATAAACTACTGTCAGACAATCAATACAGTTTTCGATCCTCTCGCTCTACGGCCGACTTGCTAACTGCTGTAACTGAAAGATTTTATCGTGCATTAGATGGAGGCGATGAGGCTAGGGCTATTGCTCTTTACATATCTAAAGCTTTCGACAAAGTTTGGCATGCTGGTCTTCTCCATAAGCTTGCTTCATATGGTGTTTCTGGGAAAGTTTTTGAGATTATCAAATCATTTCTTTCTAACCGGTTTATTAAAGTCATCCTTGAAGGCCAACACTCTTCTTTATTTCCATTAAGTTCTGGGGTTCCCCAAGGTTCCATCCTGGGCCCTGTTTTGTTTCTTATCTACATAAACGATCTTCCTGACGACCTTTCATCTAAAGTAGCTCTTTTTGCTGATGACTCAACTTTATACTCCTGTCTTGACAAAAAATCTTCTCTTTTCGATCGCCTAGAACAAGCAGCTAATCTTGAATCCGATCTCACTTCAGTAATAGATTGGGGTTCACAGTGGCTTGTGAATTTCAACTCTAAAAAAAACCAACTGCAAACAACTACCGTAATATGGTCAACATTCCTATATTAATGAATGGCAATCCTCTTACTGAGTCGTCTTCTTTACGTCTTCTTGGATTATCGCTTACTACTGACCTTTCATGGAAACCATATATACAATCGATTGCTAAATTAGCTTCTGCTAAGGTTGCTTCTCTTTATCGTGCTTGCCATTTTCTTACTTCTGATTCCATTCTCTACCTCTACAAATCTCTTATTCCTCCCTGTATGGAATACTGTTGTCATATTTGGGCTGGTTCTTCTAACGATTCACTTTCTTTTCTTGACAAGGTCCAAAAACACATTGTAAATGTTGTTGGACCTGGACTATCTGCTAAGCTTGAACCTCTTTCCCATCGTCGTAAAGTTGCATCTCTTTCTCTTTTCTACAGATACTATCATGGTCACTGCTCAAAGGAGTTATCATCTCTAGTTCCATCAACTAAAATTCATTCTCGTTTTACTCGTCATTCAGCTAAGTCTCATTCGTTTACTGTATCTGTCAATGCATGCTCTAAAAACTTTTATTCATCTAGTTTTTTTCCCCGCACTTCAATCCTTTGGAACTCTCTCCCATCTTCATGTTTTCCTAACTCATACAACCTTTAACTTTTCAAGTCTTCTGTCAACCGTTTCCTTGCTCTATAACTCTGTTCTTTTTTTTCCTAGTAACTCCCAACTTGATAGTGGTTGCTTGCAGCCTTGTTGGGAGTGAATGCAAATAAAAAAAAAAAAAAATCCCACATAAAATCCCACATAAAGAAGATGTCCTCTTTCATTCACGGTCAAATCACAGTATCAGTATAAGGTAATATACTAAGTTTTTCAAACAAATGCCTTTTTTGAGAGAGCAGACAGACAGAGAGGGGTAGCTCAAAGCTTCTAGTCTAAATTTAATTGCAAATAATACATGGAGTAATTTAATTTGAATAATTCAGAGAAGGCCATGATGATCATGATTACTGATGAGCAAAAGAACAGCTGTGAAGCATGTGGGTAAAGTTTTCACTCAGAAGCCAGAGGTCCGAGGTTTGATTCCAGCTCTAGCCCAAAAAGCGATATTGCGTGAACTTCTAGTTAAATGCTCTTCTGTGGTGCTCTTTAATAAGACCGTAAGGACTTTTCGGGAGCACCTAAATAACCTAAAAAAAAAAATATTGATAGAGGTAAAAGAGCATCGTGGATTATTTGGAAAAGTTAATGTCACATGCAAGTTGTATAGCATTGTGTAAAAATGGTTACAGCAGTTTCTGCTTTGGTTTTAGGCAAGATGGAAAGAAATAGTTTAATATGTGTCTATCTGCAATATTGGAAGATTATGCCAATAGTTATTTATATTATTACAAATTAACAATATTAACACAAAGATACATTATAACACTCAATATGGAAAACATGCAAGGTATTCTATTAAAATGAATAAGGGTTTGTTGCAGCAATCATTTATTTCATTATTTATTTGCTTTTTTATTTTTTTGTAAAAACCTCATAAATTAAAACTGCACATACCCCATTTTTAAAATTTATATATTGAGAATAAATATGAATATTGATAGCATTTTAACATTAAATTGTTTTATACTTTTCTTTCTTTTTTTTTTTTTAATTTATCTAAAGACCTTGTGCCTGTTTCTATGTACAAGTTTTTTGAAATAATTGATAAGTAATTTTATATATACAGTTTTTCAGGATCTGCTGCATATTTTATTGGAACACTATTCAACATTAAAGTATGTAAGAATCAGCTAATTAAGTGGATGATTTCAGATAATGCGGATGTTGTCAGCATATTTCTTGTAAATCTGAATGGATTATTTAGATGGAACAATGAGGAAACCTTACTAAATGTTTCAACAATTATTAACTCATTGGTAAGTGCGTTTTATAATTAATATTTTAATTGATATTGTTTCATATTAATTATAATAATCTTTTATCTCCTATATTAATTGTGATAATCTTTTATCTTGCATTATTTCAGAGATGAGGTTTTTCAAAACTCTAGGGTTTTTTGGTTCTGGGTACCCGTACTCGGGTTTGGCGAGTCTGTAGCTAATTACCTGGAACTGATACCCGGTCCAAGACTCGGCGAGTTTCGTGATTTGAACTCCTGGCCTTGTTTTATACGCAGCAGGTTGTTTTGTGAATCTAGTGAACTTCTAGTTAAATGTGAACTTCTAGTTAAATGCTCTTCTGTGGTGCTTGTTTTGTGAATACCTAACTTTTCTAGGCAGCTGTATCTGATGCTTAATAGCATGCTTAGATAGGGCTGTATTTATATTATTATTAGGGAGGCCCACAGTCAAAAAAATTTAATAAAATTGACCGTTAGGTCAAAATTATCAATTAAAAAATTGTCGGGTAAACCTAATCCAGAAAGAGGTATTATATAATCAAAATATGAATTATATTATTCACCAATGTATTTTAAAACAATTTTCATTGTTTTTTCAATCATCATTGAAGAAGCTTCTTAAGGTATTGGAAGTGAGCACTTAATAGAAAATATTAATATTAAACATGAGTTGACAATTCTTAGCAGAAACGATGCTAATCTTACAACATTCCAATTAGCAATTGATTTTATGATAAGAAATTTAAAAGAATATAATGGTAATTTAAGTAGAGAGCTATTAATGACAATAAATAACTCAAATAAATTGCCTTTAAAACCAAGATTTAGAAGAGCTATTAGATTCTCCTGTAAATGGTACTATGCCAAAGAAAATTTACAAATTTTCAATACATCCCTAATGTATGGGTATATATATACATATATATATATATATATATATATATATATATATATATATATATATATATATATATATATATATATATATATATATATATATACCCATACATTAGGGATGTATGGGAAATGAGTTTTTCATCAAAAAATTATTCCAACTTTTCTAGATTTATAATTTTTTGTAAAAATATAAATCTATAAAAAAATTTTGTATAATAAAATTTTCACATAGATTTATAATTTTACCAAAACCTTTATTTGTTTTGAAAAAATTAGTTTTGTATTTACAAACTTTTTGCTAAAGTGGTTCTAAGTTTTATGGACTTAAGTTTTAAATGCCTGAATAAAAAAGTTTTTTGCTTCATTCTTTAATTTCATAGTATGTAGATTGTATGTATTATCATCTCTGCTTTTTTTTTATCAGATTGAAATCTAGTTTAGGATTCATAATTGTTCAGGATTCTCAATTGTTCAGGATTTTCAGTTGTTCAGGATTCTCAATTGTTCAGGATTTTCAATTGTTCTAGGTTTTTTAATTGTTTAGGATTCTAAATTGCTTTAAGATATAATTTTAAAAGTATATTTATCTGCTTTTATTAAAGAATAAAAAACTAGTTTTAAAATCTTTTTTACATTGCAGTAAGAAAAGTTCTTTAACAACCAAAGTATTTTAATATAAAAACAGTTGCTTCAATGATTAGTTGCTTCACTAGGTGGTTTTGAGTTTTTCAAAAACTTGGATATTAATTCACAATAAAAAATGACCTTAAATTTATCCTTTTTTTTTTTTTTCATCCTTATTTTTTCTTATTCTTTCCTCCACTTTCTGAGTGATTTTCCTTTTTTTTCTGCTCTGTAATCTTTTTGAACATTTCTTTTTTTTTTTTTTTATTTACCCTGAACTCTCTCTAAGTGTTTTTTCTTTTTTCTTTACTCTGTAGGTGAAGCAAGTCAGTATAACCAGAGAAATTATTCAAAAAAAAAATTTCATATCGAAAAAATTTTTCTGCTTTATAAATAAAAAATAAATTTGATATAATATTTTCTTACACAGATAATATGTATTTTGTTAAGATGTGAAAGAATGCTAACTTTTTAATATAAAAATATATTTATATATTTATACTTACAATTGTTAAAAACAATTTGCAAAATCTAAAAACTGATTGCAATATTTTATTTTTATTTTACAAAAATTTTTTTGGCATTTAATATAGAATTATAGAAATAATTATGATTCACTAATTGTGGCAAAAAAAAACAACTTCAATATCTTAAAAAAAGACTCAGGCATAAATAACCTCTGGTTTCTTATTTGAAACTTGTATTTAGTTTTTCAGATCATTAAATATTTTACATAGATAATGTTTTATTTTAACTTCTGATTTATTTTATAATGGAAGTTTTTAAAATAATTAATTTCTAAAATCCAAATATATTTTTTTATTACAATTAATATGATTATTTTTAAAAATCCTCAAAAAACCTCTCAATTTTGCATCAAAACACTTTTTTAAAATATCTATTTAAAAAAATATAAATAAGAAAACTACAAAAGCTAAATGTTTTCAATGTTATCAGGCCTCCATTCTGTCTTTATTGCATTTTCCAAGAAAGGCTATATGTTATGTAGAATGGTTTTTTTAATTTTATTTTAAATTATTTTTATAGTAAGTAAATACCATATTTTGATTCGTAATCCTTTTATGAGCTAACAAATAAAAACTTTTAGAAATAAAAAAAAATTAAAAAAGAATTTGTTAAATTAGAAATAATCTTAAAAAAGGTTATTTTAAACTTAAAATTGGTAATTTCAATAATATATTAAATAAAAATTTTAATTTTATTAACATTATCAACAAATGCAAGTTGAATGAATAAATTTTTTAGTTAAAAATAATCATGAAAATAATTATACTTTTAATGGTTTCTCGTAAGTCATTATAATAAACATAATTCTTTGTTATTAAATATGTTCTAAACTGTACAAACAAGTTCTACTGTTTGTATACTTTGGAAGTGGTTTACATAAGATGCAGTGTTATAAAAGAGATTTAGTGGTTTACAAGAGATGTAGTGATATTTAAAAGAATTTTTATTGTAGTATACAAAAGATGTAGGTGTTTACAAGAGAGGTAGTGGTTTACAAGAAATGTAGTGGTTTACAAGATGTCCGTTTTATATAAAGTACCCTTGGTTGCATTTTGGATTTGATTAGCAGAAATAATACAACAGTTTATTGAATAATACACATACCGTTTATTGAATAATTCACATACTGTTTTTTTTTAATAATACACATATTAAACACACAAATAACACACATCACACACACAAAAAAACAAAAAAACAAAAACATTACCATTAAATTTTTATCTTTTCAAATATTTGTAATCTCAAAAGTATACTTTCACAAGTTTAATATTACCTTTTGCCAAATTTACCAGACCTATTTGCTCTTTGTGAATTTAATTTAAATTAAAAAAACAAACAACCCAAATTGACTTCAAATTAATGTCTTTTAGAAAGACTCCAATTGTCATGTACTATACTTACACACAAGTTCAAATATTTGTCATGAATTCCAATTACTAATTGAATTATTTGTCACGAATTCTAATTACCAATAGAATTATTTGTCACAAGTTCCAATTACCAATTGAATTATTATATAGTTAGTTGATATAAAGAATTCCGATTTCCAATTACCAATTGAATTATTTGTCACTAGTTCTAATTATCAGTTAAAGTAATTGTCACAAATTCCAATTAACAATTGAATTATTTGTCACAAATTCCAATTACCAATGGAATTATTTATTACGAATTCCTATTACCAATGGAATTTTTTGTTACAAGTTTTAATTACTAATTAAACTATTATATAATAATTTAATTCACGAATTCCAATTAACAATTACCAATTGAATTATTTGTCACGAGTTCTAAATACCAATTGAATTATTTATCACTAATTCAAGTTTGAATCCTCTAACTATTTTTTTATATTCTATCGCTTGCACTTCACTTTTGCCTCCAATTTCATTCAATTCACCTCTTTGCTATAAATTGCTGTTTCATTATTTATTTTTATTATCATTTTCCTTCTTCCTGAGAGTGCACTATTTTTGATGTTGTTTTCTTACCAAATTGAACTCTTATTTTTCCTTAGTCAATATTGTTGTTGTTATTAGACAATATTGTTGTTATTGTTGTTGTTTTTAGTCAATATTGTTGTTATTGTACTGACCTTTCTGGCTCTAAAGTTGATAACTTTTTTGATTTCTTAATCTCTTGCTCAAATAGTCAACTTTGTGACTTGTTTTCCATGGCAGCCCTAATTACTTAGGGTAACTCCATTTTAAACTGGTACAGTTGTTTCTGTCACCTCTTGGATTTTCTTTAAATTTTACCCAGTGGTACATAACAATGAATAAAGAAAAAATGTAAAATTTGAGCTATCAAATCCAAAGGGTTTAAAAGTTAAGACACTTTGACATTCAGCCTAAAACGTTCCATTTTTTTTAAAGTCCGCCATTATGGATTTTGTAGTTTTTCAGCCTAAAAAGTTGTACTATTTAATAAATAATTTAAAATTTTGTGGATCATTGTGGCTAAAAATGGGTACCTACCTGTGGCTAAAAATGGGCACCTTTTAAAGGTGCTAAAATCAAAAATGTTGAGAAAATAGTGAAGTTTAAATTTTTTGATGGTTACTTTTTGATTTTAAAATGGTCAATTTTTTTTGTTGTTTTACCAAGGGTTGCGCTTTTATTAACTCCCAGAGTTGCCCAAGTCTCATGGATTCATTTTTTTTCAAATGACGTAGGTGACCCTTGGCTATCTTTATATATAAAATGGTTTTGGCTTCTTGAAGCATTATAGAAATATGCCATTTTGAAATTAAGAAAAAAGAAATATTTTTGTAGCCTCTATTCTCCATTATGGAATTTATAATAATACTTATTGAGTGAATAGATTCAGTTCTAGTGGAGAAATATTATTGAAAATTGGTACCTGACCAATTTTAAAGATATTAAATACAAAGATAAAAAGAAATTAATCTAATTCTAAATATTTGAGAATAATTTTTTAATTTTAAAATATCAGCAGTCAAAT